CCTGGGGTTTTTTTCCTAAAGGGTTAGGGGTGCAAAGGTCCTGTAACTTGACAGCTTTAAGACTTGCGTGCTTCAAATGCCAAAGTTCCTGAGCCAACATTTTGGTTGCTAAGCATGAGCGTTGTTAAGTGAGTTTCACCACATTTTACAAGTTGGCCATGCCCACCTAGTCACATGGCTGGCAAGCCACTCCTACCCAGTCACATGGCCGGCAATCCACTCCCACAAAGCAGGCCACACCTACAGAAGAGGTTCTAAAAAAATTTGAAACCCACATCTGGCTCAGTAGGTCTGTTTTCGCTCTCTCCAGGCTCCAGAGGCTTTCTAGGAGCCCAGGAAGGCAAAAAGTGGCTTAACCCATAAACGGGAAGTTTGGGAACAAACTTCCCGTTGGGCTGTTTTTCTCCTTCCGGAGGCTTCAGGAAGCTTCCTTGAAGCCTCCAGAGGGCAAAAAACAGCCAAAAATCAAGGCCCAAAATAAGCTAGAGCTGATAGGGCAACACCCAGGGTGCCCTCAGAAATGTCTCCATGTGCCACCTATGGCATGTGTGCCATAGGTCTGCCATCATGGGTCTAGGGTCACTTGAACTGCGACATGGGTGACAAATAAGTTTTATAAATTTGAAAGGGATGCATCTCCCCATCTCTTTTTTTAATGGGGTTTTGAAAGGGCATCCCTCCCAGAATTTTTCAGCTGCAGCAGGAATGGCTCTGCAGATCATTTTAACGTTTTAAAACGGCTCGGAAACGGCGTTTTTCCCACCTTGAGGCACAGAAAGCAAGAAAGCCAGCCAGCTTCGCCAGAGGAAATGATTTAATATTTTCGCTATGCAGATAATGACCCACGCAGGAGAAGTTTCCTGGCAGGAGCAGTTGGTGCGTGATGGAGAAATCATTGCCCTTCAACCGGCAGGAGACCACCGTTAGACAGAGAGCCACAATTCTTGCTCCCCGCAGCTGAAGGAGATCAAAAATTGGATGACATTGCCTGGATTCACAGTCTCCTTTTCTGGAAGTTCAAAAGATCCCGGTTGTAAATCTGCAGGATTGTCAGGTTGCCAATATTTTTTTATTTTTTTTAAAAACCCATCTCCAGTTCTTTGATAGTGACTTGATTTGTAGAGGTTAAAGGTAAAGGTTCCCTTCACACATTTTTGCTAGTTGTTCCCGACTCTAGGGGGCGGTGCTCATCTCTTTTTCAAAGCTGAAGAGCCAGCGTTGTCTAAAGACGTCTCTGTGGTCATGTGGCCGGCATGACTAAACGTCAAAGGTGCACAGAACGCTGTTACCTTCCCACCAAAGGTGGTTCCTATTTTTCTACTTGCATTTTTTAATGTGCTTTTGGATTGCCAGGTTGGCAGAAGCTGGGACAAGTAACGGGAGCTCACTCCATTATGCAGCGCTAGG